TGGCCATGGTGGTTCCCACCCGGGCAGCCGGTTCGAGTCCCGGTATTGCTCTGTCCCACCCAGGTCCCTGCAATCCCAAATCCTGCCGCGGCACATGGCTGCCTTCCACTCCCCGTCCCGGGACACGGAGCCAGGAGACCCACGACCCCCTCGTCGGTTCCCTCTGAGCTGGGGGAGACACCACTCCACGTGAGCTAACCCAGAGGGACGGGACAAGGCGGGCAAGTAGCCTCGCTTTGCAACAGCCAGGGGAGGGCAGCGGGTACCCCCAGGGCATCTTCAGGGACAACCCGGGGTGGGAGAGACCCTGCTGCCCTGCCAGGCTGTTGTGCTTGAGGGTCATAAATCACAGATGCGAGTAAGGCTGTCCCGGGGAGGTCTGAGGCTGCTGTAAAGCACTGTGCTCGGGAAGGTTGTGCCGGCACAGGCGGCCTGCTCCGCGCTCGCCGGAGGAAATGCCAGGGATCACTGCCCGGCTGCTCCCGTGTTTGTTGACGTTTGAGAGTCACTTCCCAGCAGGTCTGGACAGTTATCCTGAAGAGAAGCAGGCAGCAGCCTCGCAGGCAGGAGAGAATGCAGTGCCACGTGGACACGGCGCAGGCAGGGGAAAGGCCGGCGGCAGAGCAGGAGGAAGCCCCTCTGCTTGCTCAGCAGCCCTCCTCCCGCACCGGTAAGTCTGCAGGATGAAGTGCTGCCCCAGCAGCTTGGGCAAGTCTCCTTCCCTTCCTGCCTTCCGTCCTTCTGAAGATACAAACTGCGAAGAAGGAGGGCAGGGGCTCGGTGGTAGATGTCTGGAGGGTACCTGGAGGGAGCCGTTTGTTTGTTTGCTGCAGTAGGTGACTACCTGGCCACGCAAATCCGTAGCGGGAGGTGAGAATTAACGCCCAGCCTTTCTGACCAGCCCTGGTTTGTGCATGCTCTCCCCCCACAGGGCTCTGCTCCACTCGCTGCGGCCTGGCCCTGGTCCTGCACGTCTCTCTCTTCATGGCATACACACTCCGGGTCAGCCTCAGCATCGCCATCGTCGCCATGACTAACAGCAGCCATCCCTACGGTTGGTCTGGCAACGCTCCCAACGGCTCCCACCCAGGGTTTGCTCAGGACGTAAGTGGGAAGCAGATGCAGATAGCTGAAGGATGCTTCCCGGGCTCCGTCCGCTCTTGTTTTTGCATGAGGACAGCCTGGGAAGCAGCAAAGCCTTGAGGACAAGGAGAGTGAAGAAGAGCCTCGGTTGGTTGTACTCAGGGCTGGGATTCCTGGCTGCTTCTCCCCTTTTGCAGGAGTCTGTGCCTGGAAAACAGAGCTCTCTCTCTGACAGACATGGTTTGTTTCCTCCAGGCCCCTGTGTACAACTGGAGCGCTGAGACTCAAGGAATCGTCCTCAGCTCCTTCTTCTACGGCTACAGCCTGACACAGGCGCTGGGCGGGTACTGCTCAGGGCTGTTCGGGGGGAAACCTGTCCTGGGCAGCGGGCTCCTGCTCTCCTCCCTGATCACCCTCCTCGTGCCGCGAGCAGCAGAATTCGGCATCAGCTTCCTCATCGGGCTGCAGGTGCTGCTGGGCTTGGCCGAGGTCAGTCATGACTCCAGGCACTGCCAGACTATGAAACCTGCTCCGGTTAGCCCTGGCTGCGCTCCCCACGTCCCTTCCCTCCATGCTCCCTGTTACCCTTTGCAGGGAGTGATATTTCCAGCTCAGTACACGCTCTGGGCAAAATGGGCCCCTCCACTGGAACGCAGCAGGCTCATGAACGTTGCTGACGCTGGTAAGACTCAAGGACTTTTCCCTACCACCAATTCAGTAAGTGCAAGACCTCCCCTCACCCCCTCCTTTCCTTCTCACAGCCTCAAGTTCAAGGCTGTGGGTCCTTGGAAAGAAGCATTAGTGGTGTTCAGGCTTTCTGCCTCTCCTCCCATCCTGTGTCTTCTCTGTCTCCTTGGCTCAGTCCAACTCGAGGCAGGAGAAGGAACCCAGACACTGAAAGGACCAGACCTGAACTTGTTTGCACAGGCACTTTGTTTGTGCCACCACATTTTCCCATCACAGATCAGGGTGGAGGCTGTAGGTCTGTCCCACTCACTTCTAGTCAGGTGCTGGGGTACCAGAGTCCCATTAAAGTGACTCTTCTGATTTCTGATCCCTAGGATGCACTTTTGGGACTTTCTTTGCACTCCTCGTGGCTGGGATCATCTGCCAGAGTCTGGGGTGGCCTTTTGTCTTCTACATCTTTGGTGAGTAATGGCCCATTATGTCCCTCTACTCCGACTCTGCTGCAGAGCTCCCAAAGTTTTCCCATCAGAGCCCTGCAGGACCAGCTCTGTCCTTCCCAGACTCACACAGGTCTCTGGGCACTCTCTCTCAGGCCAGGATTAAGCCAATTTGCTGGGGTGCTATTAGGGAACGTGCCTTTGGTGAACCTTTAATGCCATCAACTCGGCCCCTTCTCCTGGGAGCGATGGATTAAGGGGAGTTCTCCCTTTCCATCTTGGCTAGCAGCAGCCTCCCTCGCGCTGGCTCTCAGCTCTCGCGCAGCTCGGCATCAGGAGAGCTGGCACTGAGAGCCTTGCTCCTCGCAGGTGGCATTGGTTGTGCCTGGTGCCTCTGCTGGTTCCTGCTCGTGTATGAGGACCCTGTACGTCACCCGTGGATTAGTGCCAGGGAGCAGGAGTACATCGTGTCGTCGCTGGCTCACCAGGTACACACAAACCTTTCAGCCGCCACTGACCACACCGCAGACACCGTGGCTCTGAGGCAGTTCAGCTGGGCTCCTTACGCAGCAGGCAGGGCTAGTTCCAGTCTTCTCAGCAGCAGGTGGAGAGGCCAAGGAAAGCCTGGACAGCCTTCCCGGGGAATGGGAGGCAGGAACAGAGGCACTGACTGATGTTTAATTCCTTCCAGGGTAGCTGTCATGGCCGCTACCTCCCACTTGTGGCCATGGCTAAATCACTGCCCCTTTGGGCGATCACCATCGCCTGCTTCTGCACAGACTGGCTGTTCTACATGCTGCTGACCTCCATGCCCACCTTCTTGAGCAGCGTCCTCCGCTTTGACCTCAGAGAGGTGAGTCCTGCCCTGCAGCTGAGGCTGGGCCCCGCAGCAGCAACAGGGCTTGGTCCCTCTGTAGCCTGGGAACATGGAGATTCCTCAGGGGCATCTCTTCCTGAAGACCAGTAGCTCTGGGACCAAGGGAGCTGCAGCCTTGGATCTCTTGGCTCCGTTGCTTTGTGCCACAGATGTGACAGATGCCTTGTTCTCTGCTCTGCAGAATGGGGTCCTCTCCTCCCTGCCTTATGTTGGGAATGGGCTGGGGCACATCCTGGCTGGGCTGCTGGCTGATTTCCTCCTGGCTAGGCAAGTGCTTGGCACAGCAGCCGTCAGGAAGCTCTTCTCAGCACTTGGTAAGGACAAGCTTTCATCTGCCATCCAGCCTTGTGTGGCCTGTTATAAAACACATCCCCTTTTCCTCCCAAGGGATGCTGCTCCCAGCCATCTTCCTGGTGGCTGTGCCTTACATTGGCTCCAGTTCCGCAGTTGTGGTCCTTCTAACACTGGCTTTGACGATAATCAGCATGACAGGGGCAGGCATCAATATTAACCACATCGATATAGCACCCAGGTAGGTGGGTCTGACCTCTGTGCCCTCCCTGCATCCTTCCTGTTCCCAACCCCCCAAGGCTACTGCAGCTCCCTTCCCTTGTTTTCCGTATCTGGTGACATTGTAAGCTAAGGAGTAAAATAAAGGCTTAAACCGCCACTGTCAGCATGACAGGCGGTATTCCTGTGAGAGTTTCCTCCCTGCCATACCCAGGAAATCTTTGCTTCCTCTCCCCAGATATGCAGGGTTCCTGCTGGGAATCACAAATACCTTTGGCATAGTTGCAGGAATTATTGCTCCTACTGCAGTTGGACTTCTCATCAGCCAGGTAATTGGAGGGCACAAACCACAAGCACATCCCTGGAAGAAAACACAGGTCTGCTCTCAGAAATGGATTCCTTGGTTTGCACTGTATCAAAAATTACTCCAAGCCAACCCCCTCTCCCAACGAACACACTTGATGTAGCACCCAGTAAACCAGAGCTCTGGACCACTTTGAGGACAGAGGGATGACTCAGAAAGAAGGAAGAGCTCCACATGGGCCCCATCTGGATGTACTTGGAGATGGGGAGAGGGTCGAGGGCGTGGGGTGAGTGAGAAGCTCTGTGCCAGGCAGGAAAGCTTCCTGAATTCAGCACAGCCCACAATGTTTCCAAAAATGCCAAGGCAGGAAGTGTATCTCCGACAGAAGGGGGTCTGGCATATGTCTTGAGCTGAGCAAAGCTCTTCTGTTGTTGGTACCGGTAGCAAGCAGAGGATGGAAATGAGTTTAATGCCAGTGAACTGGGAGGCAATCACTCCATCAAGATAAAGGGGAGAGTAATACCATTGTGACCTGTTTTTGCCCCCCAGGATCTCCAGACTGGCTGGAGGAATGTCTTCTTTGTATCTGCAGCCCTCAACCTCTTTGGCCTGATCTTCTACATCGCCTTTGGCAGCGGGACCGTCCAAGACTGGGCTAGGGAGGACGCTGCTGTGCAGTGAGAGCCACGAGCATGGAAAGATATGCAAGGGAATGGGCTGCAAACAGGCGCAGGCAGGAGCCCCCTCCACTGCCCTGCTCTCGCCTGCACAGCGAAGCTCAGCCGTGCCTTCCTGCCTGTGCAGCATCCTCGAACGATGGCACAAGCTGCACAGCCCTGCCTGCACTCTGACTCTTGAAGTGCCCAGCACCTTCACCCAGCTCTGTCCACCTGATCCCGTCTACTCCCCTGGGGAGGCACCAGCCGTTCCATCGGTGGTGCCTGCTGGGTGTTTAACCCTGCCCTCGGCCTCTGCCTGTGGGAAGGAACGCTGCAGCATGGACAGATCCTAAACAGGATCCACGGAGAGCTGGTACAGCTGGCTGTCGGCAAGCTCTGAGGAGCCTGCAGCTATTTCTAGCAAAGCTGGTCTTAGATGAAGTAAATCGATAATGAAGGAGTAACGTTGCTTTTTAACTAGTGGTTTCTCACACCCTCCGCACAGTCTCCTAATGCTTTTTTTCCTGTTCTTAATGAGACAAGCTGATTATTCATTTATCTTTCATCCTCTTTCAGAAGCAATTGAGGCAAAAAATAAGTGAGGGCATTACAGAGTTCAAACTGAGTGCAGCGCCTAGGAGGCAGGGAAGGGGATAAACTGGGAAAGCCTTGAGCTGGTGTCATCCTTACTGAGAGAGGATGCCTGCAAGCCTTCAGCTCGGGACATGGCCACTGAAGGAGATGTTTGGATGTAGAAAGGGGGGTGGATTTGGCTTGCCCCCTCTCTGCCCCTGTACTCTGCTCTTGTGAGACCCCACCTGGAGTGCTGCATCCAGCTGTGGAGCCCTCAACATCAGAAGGATATTGACTGGTTGGAGCGAGTCCAGAGGAGGCCACGGAGATGATCAGAGGGCTGGAGCACCTCTGCTATGATGAAAGGCTGCAAGAATTGGGCTTGTTCAGCCTGGAGAAGAGGAGGCTCCGAGGAGACCTCCTTGCAGCCTTCCAGTACCTGAAGGGGGCTACAAGGGTGCTGGGAGAGGACTTTTTACAAGGGCCTGTAGTGACAGGACAAGGGGTAATGGGTTTAAATTGAAAGCGGGGAGGTTTAGATTAGGTATCAGGAAGAAATTCTTCACGGAGAGGGTGGGGAGCACTGGGACAGGTTGCCCAGAGAAGCTGTGGATGCCCCATCCCTGGAAGGGTCCAAGGCCAGGCTGGATGAGGCTTTGATTAACCTGGGCTAGTGGAAGGTGTCCCTGCCCATGGCAGGGGGGTTGGGACTAGATGATCTTTAAGGTCCCTTCCAACCCAAACCATCCTGTGATTCTCTCCAGAGAAGCTGTGTTATGCTCTGTTCCCAGCTTGTCGCAGCGAGGGAGTGGGCTGTGACTCCTCCCTTGCTTGACTATGTCAAAATGGTGCCAAAAGAGGATCCAGGCCCCAGGCAGAGATCTGAAACACAGAAATGTTCCCCTGAAAGAGTGAAGTGAAATCGGATTATGTTCCCAGGTCTGGTTCAAGGAACTCTGGGGTGTGGAGGCAGCAGCAGCGCTGGCAGCCAGGCTTGGGTAAGCTACGCTGGGTGCTGCTTGGGAGCGGAGAAGTTCCAACACCTTCTGAGGCGGCAAAAGCCGCTGTGGCTCATCCCTCCCGACCTCAGCGGCAGATCCGAGCCCCTGGCAGAACCCTCGCGCCCTCCGGGGCGAGCCCGGTGGCAAAGGCAGCAGCTCAGGGCGGCGAGGCCGAACCCTATTCCTAGCCTGGCTGCGGGGCACGGGGTGAGGGCGGGCAGGGCTGGTGGTCTCTCCGCACCCACGGGCCTGAGGGACAAAATGGAGGCGGGGGCT